TGCGTAAAGGTTTATTAACTTATGATTTAAACAAACCATCTGGTCCTGCTGGCAATGCACACTGTGTCAGGCCCAATGTTGGGTTTTTTTCTGTTATATTTCTGAAGTTAAATTATATACTTAAGTCCCAGCTTTGGCCTGTGCTTTTTCCATGTCTTAACATCTGCTCTTGGAAAGCTTTCTGGTCTCAAGTAAGTTTACATAGAGCCAGAACTCTCTCCTTTCCTCGGTCTCCCACACTTTCTCATCCATTCAATTCAGTGAAAAGTAATGGCAGAAATGCATAATTCTTGTTTTTAAAAAATCCAGAGAGTAGGGGGAGATGAATAGATAGCAAGAAACCTGAAAGGACTAGGAGAGCATTCTCTGAGAGAGAGAAAATGGTGGATGTTGAGAAGGAAAAAAAACTAACTTTGGCAAATTCTTAACTCACTCCTGACTTCTGATTTCAAGTACGTTTTTCATTTGGTGTGATAAGTGCAGGTTTATAACATCTTTTGTCTTGTGTCCCATGATGCTTTTCAGATTAATCATATGAAAAAGTGTATCCCTCACTGCGATCAAATGTAATAATTAAAAATATACCCAGTCAGCTTGGAGCTTTGGAAAATAAAAACTGTGTGGATTTGTACGATGCTAATGCTAAGTTTGTTGCTAATAGTGGGTACCTACCCATCTGTATTCTCTCAAATTCCAACTCTTCTTATCCTATCTATAAAATTTGAAATGCATATTGAGCATAGATGTATGCGACATTGTCCTGTACATCAAAAAATGAATTATTTCCTTTTAAAGCAGCAAGATTTTAAAAAATTGGCTTTTTTTAAGGATGCAGTATTACATATTAAAATTTAACTTCTCATGCTTTGTGACATGAAAAGCACTATATTTGTGCTATCCTGGCAATATACTACAATACAGAGATTTGAATTCAGGACTTAAGCTCAGTCCCCTGCTCATGAGTTGGCAGGATCTAAAAAATGTGGAAGCATCATGGACAGCAAATCTGAGAAGGAAATGGCATTGTCATTTTCAAATGACCATTGAGATCTTTAGGTGTATGTCCATAGGTTAAAAAAAGAGAAATATCTAGTCTTCAGCTAGATGGAGAAAGCTACCCAATGCAAATTTGAGGGTAGACATGCATGAGACAAAAGAAAAATGACAAGGCTACAGGAGAATGTTGGACAACCTGCAGGAAGGTGAATTGGACTCCATCACTAAAAAAATGGAGATGATTGAGAGAGCCAGTCCAACTTCAATGAAGAAAAATGTCTAGCAGTGAGGAAGACCCCATAAATCTTGCTATATCCTGAGTTCCTACCAAGTTCCTTGAAGTCCAGCATATGCTATGAATGTGCAGTATGGTTCATGTTTGTCAGTATTACAGTTATTTGATTAGATAACACCAATTTCCTATTTATATCTCTACATTATAAAGATATACACTGAGTTGATGCATATATATTACTGGCATAATTCTGAAGTAGTATGAAATCTTAGGGGGAAAAAACAAATCAAAAGTAGCATTAATTATGAATGAATAAATAAATAAAATTAGATAACGAAGTTGTCTACAGTCAATGCTCCTGTGCTACTAGCTCCAGCACTGGCTCATTGGATATGCAAGGAATTGAGTGTCGCAAAACTGCGAATCACCATCTCATTTTGTTCTTTCTTGTTTTACTCAGATTTTCCCAATGAAATGACCTGAATATGCATAATTGTGTGTATTCAAGAGAGTCTATATGATAAAAGTATCCATCACTATTTGGCACAGTTATATCTAAGAAGCAGTTTAACATAAAATCACTGGAGTGACTATCACTTCTTTCCTGCACAGTGTGGGATGGGTGATAGTTCACTGAACTAATTCATTAGCACATTGGGCCAGCAAAGAATTCAGTCCTTTCTGGTTGCAGAGTTTAGTTATTAAAACTGCCTTCATGGGGAGCCTTGGCTCAGATATCAGCTACTGAATCAGTGTATCCGGCTAATAATCCAGATTTGTCATGGATGCTGCAGGCCTACATCAAGCCAGTGTTAGTGTTGCAGACTTGTAATGTGACTAGAAATGGATTGGTGGATGCTGAAAGCCATCTACCCCTAATTAAGGGAAGGTTTGTTGCCGCAAAGATTACATCTTGGCAAGTAGTAAACTGACATAAGCCGTGTGCTTGTTGAAGTTGGCTATGCACTTATTTAGTTGAGGTTACATTTTGTTACTAAAGAGATGGTTTTGTGGTTGTCATACACCCTTTCCCTCCACCCCAATTAAAAACAAAATGTTTATCCAAATAATTCTGATTGTGTAACCATCCAAAAGAAATGGAAATGGCTGCCCCTTTTTCTAGATACTATCTTCAGTTTCCATGCTGATGTTTTTCTGTTTTTCACAACTACTTACATACTTTTTATTTGCATTTTTTTTAACCACACTACTTTTTTCTTTCTGTGGAATTTCTCTCTGTCCAGTTTCAAGTCAGACAGAGCATCTGATCTGTTTTGCACAAAAATAATACTCTACCACAGACAGGAAAAGTCTGGTTTGGATGAATAAAACTGGCTATTTTATGTATGTTCACCAGTTTAAAATGAGTTTCATTTTAAATTTGTGTCACTTAAGGTCTCTTTCCTTTTTCCTGATCTTTGGGCAAATTCATTTCTGCACATCTTTAGCTGAGAACTACAGTTTTTGTTCCAAAATCAGATTTATAATACAATAATTAAGATTTCTGGTGAAATCTTTATTTTTAGAACTAAAATGTTTCTTGAGAATAAATGGCAAGAAAATGGAATTTTTTTTTTCAATCAAATACATATGACTAGAGAGAGATGTGTTATACCCTAGCACAGGGGTGGGCAATAATTTTGGTAAGTGGTCAGTGGCCGCATTTCTATGGAGAGGATGCTGGATGTGGGACGATGGGTAGGATGCAGAAGGGAACTTGAAATAGAGGATTGGGTGCAGGAGAGGGTATGGGGTCTGAGAGGGAGTTTGGGTGAAGGAGGGCATTATGATCTGGGGCAGTTGCTTGTGGTGTATGGGTGTGGGTGCAAAGAGGATTCTACTCTGGGGGAGAGGTGTAGAATGGGGTGCAGGGTCTGAGAGAGAATTCTGACCTGAAGGAGGTCAGGAGAGGGGATACAGAGGGTTTGGGTAGTGATCTGGGGCAGGAGGTGGTGGCTGGGGGCAGGAAGTTGGAGGGAGAGAGGGGGTGGTGTGCCAGCGGCAGGCTGTGGCTGAGAGGTGCTTACTTAGGCAGCTTCCGGCTAGCAGTTCTGCAGGAGCCTGAGACAGGCTCCATACCTGTGTGCTGCAGTCCCAGGCTTATCGGCGCACAGGGAGGAGAGAGTGAGGGACGGAGGAGGCTTCGCACTGCCCCTACCTCCAGCAAAATTTCTCAGCTCCTATTGGCCAGAAACTGGCTAGTGGTAGCTGAAGGATTTCTCTAGGGACCCAGGGGCACTACGTGGAGCTTCCCCCTCCCTCCCTGGCATCCAGAGCAATTAGCAGCCAGCTGTTTAAACTGCTGTGAACACCTCTGTAGTGAAAGTCCAAGTGAGATGGCTGTAGGCCGAATCTGGCCCACTGGCCACATTTTGCCCACCTCTGCCCAAGCAAATGGGTCTACTTATCTGTAGGCATGCTGAAATTTCTAAAAACCAAGTTGCTGTTCTCCATGCAGTACAACTTTCAATGCTTACCTAGTCAGAATCGAGTCTGAATCACTGTTGTAAAGGGATGGTGTGAGCAGAGTTTAATGTAATGTTAAGAATTTATTTAAGGTGTGGAGAGGAGGCATGGTCACTGGTTCACTGTAATGTAGTTTTTCAGGTTTAACTCGGAAAATATTATTTACATATAGGCAATATTAAAATCTGTATTTTTCCAATTGGAGACACATTTTAAAACACTGGTGTCACTCTGCTGAGCCCTCCTTGAGAAGTTGTCTATGACTAAGGACTTGATTAGGATGCCCTAAATTGATCTGGGTGCAAGAAATCCTCATGCCTTCCGAGATTATTGCAAAATTATTAAAATAATATCTGGTAATATTTCTGTTAGAATACTTGAGTACTTGAAAGTTTAATTGTATGTTAACACCTATTAATTAACACAATTGTAAATTAAAGGTAGGATCCAACCATTTTTTCTGTGTAATGTTTGCACAAAAATGTACAATCATGGTAGTTCTGAATTTGAATCATTCACGCAGTGTCATATACCACACAGAGCAAGAACAAGGCTTCACCTCCTCTTCCTAACCTAAGCTGATTTTTACATATGCTCTGTGATGCTAAGTCTCATAAATTAGCTTTCTGTAATTATTGTTTGATGGAGGGATTATTTCATTTGGTCCCATTTATGTATTCCTCTAGCTGCACAGTGGCACTCCAGCCAGACTATCTGTCTTCATTCTTAACACACCCCACATATTTCCATAATCTTTTCTGGATAATTTTGTAGGTAAGAAGTTACTGAATTCTCTGAAAAATCTTGGCATTTAATTTAATTTTATTTAATTTAATTTAATACCTAATAGTTTTCTGAGATGTTCACTTCTGAAGGCATTTAGACATCTTTTTGTACCTTTGGTGGAATTTCCAGTTTTCACATATATATGTTAATGTGTAAATAACATTTGAGTTTAAGATTTTTGTAATTTAGTCTTTAAATTATAATTTTCAGTGACCAAATCATGTGAATCAAGATCTGTTAATGTGTTAAACATCATTAAAAAGTTAAGTGTAGGCACAACTTTTATATGCAGGTGGTATTTGTACCTTCTTTCTCTCTGTTTCTTGCTCTTATATGCATATGCATATATATGTAATGTGCACATGTATTTACATGCCTGCTTGAGAAGTCTTGGCTCTAATCTCAGTTGTCATGTCCAGTAATTTTTATTCATTATGCTGTACTGTTTTTCTGTCTTTCCTCTTCATTTCCCCCTTATCCCTCCCCCAAAAAACCAAACCAAATCAAATATTCTTAGGTAGAGGAGTTGATGATGGCAATGGAGAAAGTGAAGCAAGAATTGGAGTCCATGAAAGCAAAGCTGTCCTCTACCCAGCAGTCTTTAGCTGAGAAGGAGACCCATTTGACCAACCTTCGAGCAGAGAGGAGGAAGCATTTGGAGGAAGTTCTGGAGATGAAGTGAGTATCTATTTCCAGTCCTTATGCCTGCATTGTATTGACATCCCTCACTTCTCCTTTTACCTCTGCTTTTGGTCATCTAAAGACAGTTACTAAATTGTACTTCTCACCAGAGGATTACAGTTATCTGTGTTTTCACTCAAAGTTTCAAAGGAACCATTTGACCAAGAGCTGTGTACAGATTGTGGATTTTTCACTTGGAATGAAATATATTCTTCCTTCCTTCTCATCCACTGTTTTGTTGTACATTGGTGATATTATTTGCATTCGTGGTCAAAGGCCTCATATGAAAATCATGGCCCCATTGTCTTGTGTGCTGTATGAATTCTCAGGAAGGCATGGGGGCTGCTTTGAAGAGCATATAGTCTAACATTAGGTAAGGCTACAGTAAGTGTAGCAATCAACAGAAATGAAGGGAAGACAAGGATAAAAGTAAGTACCAAGGCAACAGTAATCTCAGTCAAAGCACAACTGCTGTATTTCCAGATGAAGATTTTTCAAGATCATATGACTGGTTCATTTGCACTGCTGAAACCTTACTGAAGATGAGTTTCAACTTGTGTATATTTTTACTGCCAGTCCCCAGACAAAGAGAACAGTATGGCCAAGCACTGAAGTGGTGGGGAAAGGTGAGGGATTAGATTTTGAACACTTAAATACTTCCTAAATTCTCACCTCACTTGTAGATAAATGGTTATCTTTAGTTTAGGGAGGCATGAATCCATTTAGTGCAGTTTAGGATAGCAGTGCCAGCAGTTCATTAAAAACACTTTCAATTGTTTAGCCAGCCCTGAAGAGAAGGAATATTTTTATTGGCAAGACTTGCAGTGGTTCCTCAACAGTGGTTTTGTGAGCCATTATTTATTTAGTTAACTTTTTTTGTGTGTTAACGTCTTTCCTTTTTGAAAAAAGAAAAAAAGTGATACAAAAACAGCTCCTACGAAATGGAAAGAGAGGTGGTTCAGAACATAAAGCTCTAACTTAAGAGTCCACACTACCTGGCTTCATATACAGCTACCTAATTCAATCTGACCTAGATCTGGCACAGGGACATTGCAAGACTGAAGTGCTTAAAACCACACTTTTTATTTTTAATAAAACATTTATTGAACTATAAATTTTACTGCCTTGAGGGTTGACACATTGGAGGGTGGGAGGAATAGCTCTTAAGCTGATGTGGGAACCCAAAGCAACTTGAGATATATCCAATCTTCTGGCAACACTCTTCCGTGCCAAATTTCTGTGCCAAACCTTCTCATTAAAATATATACAATATTCAGTATATCCTGAAATGTACTTGGAATTGAGTAGCTATCGTGTTTTTAACATTCCCACTCAGTTCTTTTAAATGATGACCTATTATAACTAGTTAGTTATTGTTGGAAAGTTATTGCATGGAGTGAAAGTGAATCTCAGGAATTAAATAAACTGCTAGATCCATTGTGACCTCAGAAGGGAAGAGAGCAGTAGAGAGAAAATTAGTGCTGTCAACACATGGACAGAGAGATGGAAAAATCATTAAATTTGTAGTTGGACATGTTGTAGACGTCTTCTGTTTTCCTTAAAATTCTGTGAAACTGACAAAGGCATCTAGACCTTAGTATGTTAGCATGCACCCTTGTTAGAATGCACCATAAGTTTCTTCATTACAAACAGTAGGTTCAACTCAACTATTAAATATGCTCAGGACTGGACTCATGCATGAGCTGTGAGACTAGAATCAGCTATTTTTAAAAGCTTTTGTAAAAGACTCTTTTCTGCTGTTTTCAAGCTATGCCAAAGGTATTTTTAAATGTAACACTTCAGTATAGAATTTGTACTTTCTCAACTCAGAAGTATATTTTATTGAATAAATAGGCAGTTTTATACTATAAGCTACCTGATTTTGGTATTCTTAAGCATGTGCTATAGTTTGCTGATTGCACAAGAATTCAGTAAGTGATCTAACCATGGATTTGAGTATATATACCTCATATAGATCAGTGTTTCTCAACTGCTTTTTAATAAAGTACCCTATTTTCAAATATATATATATATATAAGTACCCCCATTACCTACAGTTTTCAGACACACAATTTTTTTTCTACCATTGCAACACATTTGTTTAAACAACTTAATAGTCGCTGGGCAGGTGATGAAATTTTTGGGTGTAAATGCAAAAATAATAAAGCACTGTAAAACTTAAAACAAAAATTCAGTTTTCTCCAAATTTCAGTTGTGTTGACGTACCCCCCAGACTTCTCTCAAGTACCCCTAAGAGTACTCATGCCACTGGTTGAGAAACACTGATATAGATGACCAAAAAGTTAACTTCAAGCTATAGTGACAGTCTTCAAAGACGAAAAGATAAGTATACTAGTCTGTTTAAGAGATAATAAGCATTTACAAAATTGTTACTCAAAGTCGAATTTGTGTTTATTCAGTGGACTGTAGTAGTTTTGCGTGAGTCATTCTACACTATTGAGGGAATAATACGCTCACTAAAAAACACCTTTACCACAGATGTGAACTGCTGCAAAAGCAGAATTCCAGTCTATAGAGAAAATTATCTCATATACCCTTGTTCATCTGACTTTGGGATTTACATTTTGTTGTAAATCATTATAGAAGAAGCTGATAGGGATTCCTATATTTAGGTTGCCTAACATTTTCCATTATAAAATATATTTAGTGACCTTTTTGAGAAATTCTGACACCTCCAGTGTTCACAGGATGTCTTTTAAATTTGGCATGGAGAAAGCTTTTGATCCAGAGAAATGCCTATATTTGTCCCATTACATTTTGTTTATCACAGGGTTATAAACTGTTGAAAATTAACATTTCCTTTCTGTTCCATGTATTGTCATCAATATTTTGGCAACATGCAAAAATAACTAAATGCAAACATTCGAATATAAAGCTGGGCCCATGCGACTGCTAAAGCAGCAGCAATGAGACCCCTGTACAGCCATATTGCTGATGGAACAGCATTGGTACATGGGGGGAAAAGAAGTCTGACCAGCCTCCCCTGGAGTCAGGAAAAAATCCCAGTAGCCTCTCCTGCCCCTTTCTCTAGGGATTCATATAGTACCAAAGCAAGAGCTTCCCTCCTGCTGTTCTCCCAGATTAAGAACATGGCCTTAGCAGCCCATCTCCCGCTCCCAGTCCACCAAGATAACATCTTTGTCCTTCAGGCAGCTAATGTATATAGTTCTGTAACTCAAGTGATGCAGAACTCTGTGATACAGTGCTGAAGTTTCTTAGTTCAAGCCCTGATGGTGATAGATAATGGGGTAGGTGTTACAGTTGCACTACTAGAACTTTAAAAAAAAATTATACCCCCACAGCCAGCAACCTCTATGACATTGTATAAAAAAAATTGTGAAAGAACATTGTTCAGATAATAAAATCAAGCACTCAGAAGTTAGTACATGCCATTATTTTGGTTGGTCATGCAACCTTAGTTTAGCCCCCTTCTGTGTATGCATTATGATGCTGACTTTAATTACACAAATACATACTATTTTTCCACAGGATACCAGCCTCATTCAGTACTTCGAATGGACAGTAGTCAGAAAACGAGTCAGGGTTATGTAGCAGCAAATGAGGCCTTTTTTCTACCTCATTTGTTCTAGAAGTTGAATGAGTCACAGGGCTAATAGAAGAGAGAGGTTGTTAATGCAGGTCAGTGCACATGCTGCAGAATTCCTGTGTGATGCTAAGCAAGTCATTTAAATGAAAAATGTTGGCAGATGGCCGCTAATTGTATGCGCTCATTTTCTGAATGCCCAATCTAAGACATCTGGAGCCTGATTTGCAGTCATGCTGAGCACTGACACTGAAATCAGGCGGAACTGTGTGTGATCAGTATTTCTGGTAGTAAGGCAGTGTTGTCTAGAGGGGTGAGCCTATGATTGGGAGTTTAAAAGGTCCTGAATTCTAATTCTGGCTCTTTTATTGTGTGGCATCAGGTAAGTCTCGTCTCAGTTTTTCCATCCGTAAAATTATGATGATGATGATTTCTTATCTAACTGTGGAGATAAATTCATTAGTATTTATGAGGCACTCACATATGATGATGATGATGATGATAAATGCTCTAGAAAAGAAATGAATAATTCTGTATTCACTGCAGAGTTTGTATGGCATGGAGTAATTAAAGGCAGTTGCCACACATAGAAATGAGCCTATGGAATGATTGATATAGTTCAAACAAAATACAGGATTATGTAGCACTTTAAAGACTAACAAGATGGTTTATTAGATGATGAGCTTTCGTGGGCCAGACCCACTTCCTCAGATCTTCCTTTTGATCTGAGGAAGTGAGTCTGGCCCATGAAAGCTCATCATCTAATAAACCATCTTGTTAGTCTTTAAAGTGCTACATAGTCCTGTATTTTGTTTCAGCTACACCAGACTAACACGGCTACATTTCTATCACTATTTGATATAGTTCAGTAATTAAAGTATGTATCAAAATTAAGAATATGATTAACATATTCTGTAACTTTACAGGATTGATTTAACTTCTTCTGTGATAGGGCTGGAGAATCTGTCAGTCCTGGGAATGCCAGAGCAGCAACCCCCAGAACAGCTAACTGGTGGCCAGGCTGAGGGCTATGGAACAGTGGCCAACAGAACACCTGGCCGGCAGTTGGCCCCGGGGCCACCAAAACAGTGGCCCTCAGAACAGCTGGCTAGCTACCAGCCCTAAGGCCACTGGAATATCTGACTGGCAGCCAGCCCTGAGGTCACTGGAGTAGGAGCAGAACAGCCAGAGCAGTTGTCCCCTATCTGCTGGAGCAGCAGCTGGTTAGTCACAGTGTTCCCTTTGATTTTTATATCCACATGTAAAATGAATTTTGTTGTGTGACAAATCATGTCCATATTGGTGACATGACATAAAATTCATTCTGCATATGAATGGTATGTGGCAGGTGTGGGGCCAAGGAGTTCGGAGTGTGGAAGTGGCCTGAGGGCTGGGACAAAGGGTTGAGCTTCAGTGGTGTGAGGACTCTGGC